TGGTAATTTTCTTTTCATTGAGGTATACCATATCTTATATTAATATAACCTCTCTTGCTTTCTTTGGATTAATGCTTGAATGATAAATCTTTTTCCATCCTTTTACTTACAGCCTATTTATATTGTTATTTTTGAAGCAAATTTCTTTTAGATCAGACATAATTGAGTCATGTTTTTAAATCTATTCTGACAATTTCTGTCTTTCAGTGGGGGTATTCAGATCTGTATATTCACATTAGGGCTGTGGATGACTTGAACATTTTTCAGAATTACATTTTGATTTATCTATAGTGTTTTTTAGACATATCTCTTTTATAGCTTTTTCTAATGGTTGTTCTAGGTATTGAAATATACATTACTTGTCACAGTCTGTTGGGGTCATATTTTATCAATTTGAATAAAATTAAGAAACCTTGCTTCTTCTTATACCCTCTTACCTTTCTCATTTGTGATAAAATTATCTGAAATATGTCCTCTGCATACATTGATAACCACATCAGACAGTGTTATCATTTTTGCATTAAACATCAAAACATAATTTGGAAAATTCAAGAGGGGAAAGAAAATATTTTCACTTAATTCTTTTGACCTTTCTGATGCTACAAAATTTATTCTTTTATCTTTCCCTTTCTGTTTAGAGAACTTCCTTCAGCTATTCTTTTAGGGTCTGTTGGCAACAAAATCCTCGTTTTCTTTCATCTAAGAATGTCTTGATTTCCTCTTTTTTCCTGAAGGATACAGTGTTCTGAGTTGAGAGTTGTTTTTCTTTACTACTTAAAAAATGTTATGCCCCTTCCTCCTGGCCACCCCACCATGGTTTCTGTCATCTAAATTATTTTTCCCCTATAGGGACATTTTAACTTCTCTCTTCCTGGTTTCAAGTTATTTTCTCTTTGTTTTTAGTTTTGAAAATTTTCACTGCTACGTATCATGGAGTGAACTTAATTGAGGTTATCTTGTTTGGGCTTTATTCAACTTCTTGAATCTGTATGTTTATGTCTTTTGCCACATTTGGGAAGTTATTAGCCATTATATCTTCAAACATTTTTTAAGCTGTACACTCTTTGTCATTTTCTGGCATTCTAATTACATGAAAGATCTTTTGGTATAATCCCATGTCTCTGCGGTTCTCTTATATTTTTATCAGCCTATTTTTTATGGTTCACATAGAATAATTTCTATTGTTTTTATCTGAATTGTTTATTTATTTAATTTCAGGTTACAGTGAGGGTATAAATAGCCACGTCACAATATTTGAATTTGTTAGGTAGAGTCCCTCTTGTGGTTGTGTCCTGCACACACAGGTGTTGTTTTATATTCCAGTATTGATTCTTTCCTCTGTCTCTTCCATTTTGCTGTTGGGCTCATCTGTTGTGTTTCGCTTTTGTTATTGTGTTAATTTTCCATTTGGCTTTTCTTTGCTGAGGCTTTCTCTTTCTTTGCTGAGACTTTCTAATTTTCATTTGTTTCAAGTGTGTTTGTTATTGCTTGTTGAAGCATTTTAATCTTGTTTGCTTTAAAAGTCTTTGCCAGGTAATTCTAACATCTCTGTCATCTTTTTTTTTTCAAAGTTGGGATTTTCCTGGTTATCACTTTGACAGGTACTTTTTGAGGGAAGCCTTAGTATTTTGGGTGTTATGTTATAAGACTCTAATTTCTATTTTAACCTTCTGTTAGCTGGCTTTTTTTTGACATCACTACAGAGGGAGGGCCTGACACTATCTCATTGCTGCTAGGTGGGGTTAGAAGTCCAGGTTCCCCACTTGGCCTCAGTGGACACTGGAGATGGGAGTCCTTCTATTGCTGGGTGGCCATGGGGCCCCTGGCTCTCCACTAGGCCACTGTGATATCCCCCTGGCTGGGAGGGGCTGGGGAACCTCATTACTGCTCCTCATGTGGCTGCCAGTGGGGTGGGGGTGGCTGAGCAGAAAAGAAATCCTTGATGCTCACTTGGCCTCCTCTGGTGTCACCTGAGGAAGGAGGAAGAGGGGTCCTTGTCACTGCAGGGTGAGGATGAAGCCCAGGCTCCCCACATGGTGGTCTCCATTTGCACGGGCTGGGGAGCGGAGTGTAGGGAGGAGGTGGGACTCCCTAGTGCACAGCATAAGTGAACGTTCAAGCTCCCTACTCAACTTTTTCTGACAGCATTCCTGGGGATGGGGTAGCACATACAGCCTTTAGAGGAGTCCACTCAGCCCTTGCTGTGCTGAGTGGATTTGAGCCTGCAGCAGAGCACCGGTTATGTAAGACTTTTCTGTCTTGCTAGGCTACCCCTTCCTTGGTCCTCTGGTCCTTTTTCTTTTGTGCCTGTTGGTGTTTTCAGGTCTCTAACTTCTTGGAGATATAAGGCAAAATGAAATCCCAGGGACCTCACTGCTGTGTTATTTCTCAGGCCCCTACCAGTCTGCCTTCCTCTCTCCATCTTTAAGCATCTTCTCATGGCTGATTTATGTAAAATGTCAGTTTTTTATTTTTTAGAGACAGTGTCTCACTCTGTCACCCAGGCCAGAGTGCACTGGTGTGATCATAGCTCATTGCAGACTTGAACTCCTGGGCTCAAGTGATCATCATGATGGGATATGCCACCATGCCCAGCCAATTAAACAATATTTTTTGTAGAGATGGGGTCTCTCTTTGTTCCCCAGGCTGGTCTCAGACTCTTGGACTCAAGTGATCCTCCTGCCTTAGCCTCCCAGACTGTTGAGATTAGAACTGAGCCACCACTCCTGGCCATAAATGTCAGCTTTTTCATTGTCTTTAGCAGGAGGAATTGGGAAAGTAGGTCTACTCTATTTTCTTGAAGGCACAGGTCCAGAGGTGAATATCTTTTTTTTTTTTTTTTTTTTTGAGACAGAGCCTCAAGCTGTCCCCCTGGGCAGAATGCCATGGCATCACAGCTCACAGCAACCTCCAACTCCTGGGCTCAAGCGAGTCTCCTGCCTCTGGCTCCCAAGTAGCTGGGACCACAGGGGCCCACCACAACGCCCGGCTATTTTTTGGTTGCAGCCGTCATTGTTGTTTTTTGGCAGGCCCGGGCTGGATTCAAACCTGCCATCTTAGGTGTATGTGGCTGGCGCCTTAGCTACTTGAGCCACAGGCACTGAGCCCAGAGGTGGATATCTTTAGTGTTGCTGGACATGACAGTATGTTTGCATGCTGGCCTGAGTGATTCAGGAGGGGGGACAGTTCTAGCAATGTGGTCTGAGCAGGTAGGATCAGGTGGGCTCTGGTGTGCCTGGCAGGGCTGTGGACAGGAGTCCTTGGGAGAACTCTAGCTCTATCAGTGTGGCAATCTTGATGCCTTTTGCTCTCTGAGATATTGCTCACTCTGCTCTGAATCTCAGTGTCTGACCCCAGTGTGGGTTCCTGGGTCAGCAGTTTCCTGCTGGGCTCAGCCAACAGGAGACTTTGCCAGGAGAAAGAAGGAGGCAAGAAGGAGAAGTGGCACTTCTCCCCATTCCACTCTGCACTGGGACGGCCGTCTGGGGCTCCAGCTCCTTCCAGAAAGGCCCTTCAAGGTTTCTGTTCTTACCTTTTTCCTTTGCCTCACAGCCACAGGGTGGTGGAGGTCTGCTGCTGGTATCTCTGGCCTCTGGGCAGCTTTTCAGTGTGCCGCCCACTGTGTGACCAGTTTCTGGGATGAAAGGCTCAGAGCAACTAGCCCCTTCTTGGACCTTGGCTGACTCAGTCAGTGGAGGGAGGAGGAGGAGCGAGCAGCTGAGATTGAAAAGGAGGGTAGGCATGTAGGAGCATACGGGGGAGGTAGAGGAGTGTGGGAGTGTGCTCTGCCATCCTTAGGAATCGGGCAGGGCTGCGGAGCAGCACCAGGGCTCACCTGGGGACCTTGCACACGGATGCCACATACAGCTGTCAGCAGATGGAGGGTTTTCTACTGACACCTTCAACTGCTTGGGTGCTGGCACAGAGTGGGCATGCAGAGTTTGGGATTGATCAAGAGTCTGAGACCAGCCTGGGCAACAAAGAGAGGGGCCTCATCATCCCCATCTCCCACTGCTCATACCCTGGTGTGACCACTTCCCCTTGAGTGTGGGCAGGACCCATGACTGACCTCCAGCCAATGGGATACTGCAAGGTGACAGGGCGTCTCTCCCTGGTCACGTCACATTATATAATGCTCTGCCTTGCTGGAAGACTGCTCTGGAGGCTTCCTTGATGCTTGATGAAGTAAACAAGGAGCTGGAGGAAATGGAGAGGAGGTGAGGGTGTTGCATTGGGGATTAAGTTTCCAGCACATGAACTTTGGGGGACATGTTCAAAGACTATCCCCAGGCTGCTGCAAAGCCAAAGGTTATTGCTGGGGTTATGGGATGCTAGAGAATATGAAATGATAAAGTGGTAAATGGCTTAAAATATAGTCCCCAGAGTAGGACAATGTAACCTTCCAAGTGTAGTAATGTTTCTCATTTTTATAACAGGTGTTCTTATTTTCTCATTTCAAAAGTATTAATTTGCTAGATGAAAAAAAACCCATGAAAACCATAGCACAGAGACAAAGGAAAGACCCTGCTGTCTGTGCCTTCACTGTCCAGATGAACCATGATTGGGAGGGTGTGTCCCTTTGGTCTTCTTTCCTATGCATGAAATTTAAACATGTTTAATTGTAAAAACATCACAGTGTGCCCATCTTCCTTCGTTGTCTTCAGTATTTCCCAGTACCAGTGCTAGCTGTCCAGACCATTTGTGGTTGCACAGCACAGTTCACATGTCATCATACTCTTGACTGAATGCTCTGTACTGAATGTGTAGGTCACTGCTGGCGCCAACTGAGATGAAATTGCATCCTTGGAGACCAGCGAACGCTGTTTCTTGTGTGATATTAGGATGCTGGGTCACTGCAAGGACCTTGTGATTAGCGTCCTTCCTGTTGTACCATTGGTACAGCATAGATTTTATCAAGGTGCAAACCGTGTTTCCAGTTTGCTTTTCATTAGCAGCACTGTCTTTCTGGCTGACCGTAGAGAGAAGACTGGCAAGAGGACATGCATCTGGAGGGCAGAGATGGCAGGCTGGTGTCCGGCATGTTGGAGGTGGAGCTGCAGCAGACATCTGCTCTGACGGAGTGGCCAGAGCCCGAGGGACCAGCCCCCAGCAAGTGCAGGCTTCCTCCAGGAGCTGGCGGGGCAGACCCTCCAAGCTCCTGCCCTGGTGGGGCTGTGGGACAGAGCTGCAGCGTTCCTGCAAGACAGGATTTTGGCTTGTCTTTCCTGAAGTGGAGGTGAGTTTAAAATAGTTTTATCTTGTAAATGGGGAATTCACAAATACTCGGTTTCCATGACCACGGTTCCCCCACATTTGTTATGGGAGAAATTTCCGGAAAATTTCCCAAGAGTCTTTCCAGCATTAGATTAGTCTTCTGGCCTACTCTGGATGAATGATATTTCTAAAGTATGATGAATTTGGCCTAGTGCAGTGGCTCATGCCTGTAATCCTAGCACTCTGGGAGGGTTTTTCAGAAACTCAAGACCAGCCTGAGCAAGAGTGACACTCTGTCTCTAAAAATAGCTGGGTGTTGTGGTGGGTGCCTGTAGTCTCAGGCACTTGGGAGGCTGAGGCAAGAGAATCACTTGAGCCCAGGATTTTGAGGTTGCTGTGAGCTATGATGCCACTGCACTCTACCCAGGATGACAGAGTGAGACTCAATCTCAAAAAAAAAAAAAAAAGATGACTTTAACTCAGCTTTAAGAGTTATTAAAAATAGAAACAAGAGTTTGTGGCATGAAGACTTAGAGTTTAGCACTATACATTATTTAAGGTATTCAAAGTGTCCCAGGATTTTGGAAAGCTGATGTAGGTATATCTTAAAACATGCTTTATTTCCATACACACAGCAAGTGAATTAATTGAATATTGTTTTTCATGTCAGAAAAATCAGGATTTACATGATATAGAAAATGTTTCCATCAATCTTTAAATATTTACTGATATAAAAATAGTGACTAGATTTTATAGGTAAGCAGTCACACCCCAAATTCAGGATTTGCAGTTTATACAGATGTCTGGGTATTAATGAAACCAGCGTCGTGTGAGTGTATACAGGTGCCTCTGTCGGGCACACCGATTACCCTACAGATCTGGCACCTTATTACCACAGCTGATAAATCTTGCTCAGGTGTTGCTGAGCCAGAACCCTGACCCCTGTCGTGGGGAGAAAGCAAAGCTACACTGTCATGGCAATGCACGACAGTGTAGCCTGTGCCTCCCCCGCTCACTGTTGTCCTGCCCCCGACCCCTCACTTAGGCTCATTTCAACATCACTACAAGACTCTATGCCCTTTCTTCACATGGTGAAGCTTTGAGTAGCTCTTTCTGCCCAGCACGTTTTGGGATTGATGCCTGCTCTTGCTCATTCATTTGAACTGCTTAACATTTCAGAATCTGAATACGCCACCATTGGTGTGTCTTCTCCTGCTGGTGGCTATTCGGTTTCTTCCTCCTCCACCCCCTAGCATCTTGTTTATAAAAACTGCCTGCTACAAATGTTTTCAGCTTTACACTGAGTGTCTGTGTTCCCCTGAAATTCGTATTTAGTGTTCTGTGTAGTAACCCTCTCTGGTCCCGTGTGGCAGGATCCTTTGCCAGCCAGTGACTTGTCTTTTCTTCTTATTTTGGGGGTGTTTTATTGGATGGAAGTGTTTATTATGGTCACATTTATAAATCTTTCATGGTTATGTGTTTTTTCATCATTCTTTCTTTCTTTCTTTCTTTATTTTTATTGAATGGTAACTATGTACATTAATGCACTTCTGGGGTACAGTGTGGGGTTTTCACATGCAATCTGAAATACTTCCATCAAACTGCTCAACACAGCCTTCATGTCATTATGTTTTTTCATCATTCTTAAGAACTCCCATCTCCTCTCTGATGTCATAAACATTTTCTCCTATTTTCTAAAAGTTTTAACCTTTTTAGATTTAAGAGTATCTGGAATTTATTTTTAAGCCTCCCTCCCTCTCTCCGTCTCTTCTTTCTTTCAGAAAATCAACTAAAACTGCTGCCTTTTGTGATAAATGGTAGCTGTAGGTCTGAAATGCATGTGTGTTAAGGGCACCCCTGGAAGGTGACAGAGTGGGTCTCTCTCCCTGGGTTTGGCTTAGGGCAGAGTTGGGGGAGGGGCTGGGGCTACAGACCTTCCTTGGGTTTTCCTGGTGTGTGAGCTATCTGCCATCACAGAACACTGATGCAAACCTCTGGGCCCACCACATGTGCTGGCTGGGTGGTCCACATGTCCTGGCCAGATGCTGCCAGGTGGTGTGGGATGGCTCGGCTCCACCTGCCTCTCATCTTCACCCTGCCAGCCCTGCAGGGCCCTGGACCTGGGAGAGGAAGCCAGGGCACCTTCTGCTCTGCTAGGGTCGCCAGATAGGATACAGGAAACCCAGGTACATTTGAATTTCAGATATACAATGAATATTTTAGAGGAAATTACTTATACTAATAAATCACTTATAGTATCACACCCATTAGGATGGCTGCTATCAAAATACCAAAATCCAACCCCAAACCGAAAAACCAGAAACCTACAGAGTAACAAATTGGCAAGGATTTAGGAAAACTGGAATCCCTGTGCATTGGTGAGGTGTAAAATGGTGTAGCTGCTGTGGAAAACAGTATGGTGGTTCCTCAAAAAATTAGAAATAGGATTACCACATGATCCAGCTATTCTACTTCTAGGTATATACCCCAGAGAATTGAAAACCAGGTGCTATGATTTGCATGTTTGTGTCCCTTCCTAAATTCATGTTGGAACTTAAACCATAGTGTGATGGTGCTGAGAGACAGGCCATTCAGGCCCGAGAGTGGAGCCTTTACAACGGGGATCAGCAACCTTTTGAAAGGGCCAGAAGGACCTGGCTACGCCTGTTTTGCAGTTTCCCTTCTCACCATGTAGGGACGGGGTCACTCCTTCCACCAGGCAAACAGACAGTGAGAAGGCCCTCCCCAGACACCTGATGCAGCACCTTGATACTGACCTTTCCAGCTCGCAGAGCTGTAAGAAATACCTTTCTGGTCTCTGATGGCAGTGTGACTAACATACAGGTATCAAAGGGATGTTTGCACTCTGATGTTCATGGCAGCAGTACTCAAAGTTGTCACAAGGTGGCAGTGGCACACGTGTCCAAGTTGGTGAATGAGTAGACCAGGTGTGGGCTTTGCACACACAGGAATAAATACTAACTCAGTCTTAAAAGGAGGGAAATTTTAATGCGAGGTACAACATGGTGGGCAGCACCTGTGGCTCAAAGGAGTAGGACGCCAGCAGCATATGCTGGAGGTGGCGGGTTCAAACCCGGCTCTGGCCAAAAAAAACTGCAAAAAAGAAGAGGTACAACATGGATGCATCTTAAAGACATTATGCTCAGCAAAATAAGCCAGTCACAAAAACAAAATCAGCCCATATGATCCCACTGAATGACAGTCTATTAGTCAAATTCAGAGTGGAATGGTGGTTGCCAGGGGGTCATGGGGAGCTGTTGTTTACTGGGTACAGGGTTTCAGTTTTTTTAAGTTTTGAGATCAAGGAAGAGCATCTCTTGTATTTAATATGTGGTAATTAAAGGAAATTATTGCAGTATTTAATTTGAACAATTAATTTAAATAGGTCTTTCCAAACTTTCAGATTAATATGAGGGTTTGTACAAATAGGACACATTGTTTGCCTTTGTAAGGTACATTGTGAGTTACAGTTGTGACCTTCCCCCAGCAAAGGTGCCATTTACCCATACACTATACCTACTACGTGAGAAACTACTCCTCCTTCTCTCTTCTTGAATTTAATTGAGTTTTCCTCCTGTAGGTGCATATTGTTGTTAATTCATGAGTTTCAGCTTAGTATTGAGTGCAGGGGGTGCTCGATTTTCGATTCTGGTGCTACTTTGTTTAGGAGAGTGTCTTCAAATCTATCTGAGTTGTAACAAAAGATACAAAATCTTTTTTAATGGCTGAATAGTATCCCATGTATACATAAACCACAATTTATCGGTCCATCCATGTGTTGGAGGACGCTTGGGTTGTTTCCACATCTTTGCAAGTGTATTTTTTTTTAAAAAACAGGGTCTCACTCTGTTGCCCAGGCTAGAGTGATGTGGCATCACAGTTCACAGCTACCTCAGACTTCTGGGCTCAAGTGATCCTCTTGTCTCAGCCTCCTGAGTAGCTGGGACTACAGGCGCCTGCCACAGTTCTTGGCTAGTTTTTCTATTTTTAGTAGAGACAGGGTCCTATTCTTGCTTAGGCTGGTCTTGAACTCCTGAGATCAAGCAATCCACCCACCTCAGCCTCCCAAAGTGCTGGGACTATAGGTGTGAGCCACCATATCTGGCCATTTGAGTGCAAATGTCCTTATGATAAAAACGACTTTTTTTTTGTTAGATGCCTAGTAATGGGATTGTAAGAGCAAATGGAAGGTCTACTTTTAGTTCTTCTAGGACTCTTCATACTTCTTGCCACAAAGGCTGTTCTAATTAGCAGCCCCATCAACAGTGCAGATAAATTCTCTATCTGCATCTATGTGTCTGTTGCTTCAGAATCTTGTGATGTCAGCCATTCTCACTGGGGTTAGGTGATATCTCAAAGTGGTTTTAATTTGCGTTTCTCTAACAATTAGATGAATGTTTCATGAGTTTGTTGGCCACTTATCTTTCCTTGTAAGAAAAGGTTCTATTCATCTCTTGTCTAGATTTTAATGGGGTTGTTGCTTTTTTGTTGTTGCTGTTGATTTGCTTGAGTTCTTTATAGATTCTGGTTATCAGCTCTTTGTTAGATTTGTAGCATTCGCATATTTTCTCCCTCTCTGAAGGTTATCCTTTTGCTTTGGTGATCATGATTATGTTCTTAGCTGTGTAGAATCTTTTTAGCTTGATCAGGTCCCATTTATCTATTTTTGTTGTTGTTGCGATTGCCAATGGGGTCTTCCTCATAAATTCTTTCCCCAGGCCGATGTTGTTAAGAGTTTTACCCACATTTTCTTCTAGAGTTTTTTTTATCATTGTGTGTATTAATTAGATTTAAATCTTTTATCCACTGTGAGTTAATTTTTTTTTTTTTTTTGCAGTTTTTTGGCCGGGGGCTAGGCTTGAACCCTCCACCTCTGGTATATGGGGCTGGCACCCTACTCCTTTGAGCCACAGGCGCCACCCAGTGAGTTAGTTTTGGTTAAGTGATGAGAGGTTTGGGTCTACTTTCAGTCTTTTACATGGGGCTAACCAATTCTCTGGG